CGAAATTCAAATTTCACAAAAATATTGACCCGCGATCGATTGTCACAAGTGGTTTACTCGAGTCCTCGGCAAATAACGGTGCAGGCGATGCGAATTGCAGCAATCGGACGCGTCGACTCTCCGAATCGCGAAGCTGGTGCGCGCAGGAGTGTGAATTGTGCAGAAGGCCACCCTAAGGCTCAAAAAGGTCCTATAGGGATCCCTTTTGGGTTTCCTCATGTTGGTTTCACCCTTCTAAATGCTAGAAGTCGATACCACACACTTGGAACCACAAAAGAGGACGGAAATAGGTCAAATTACAATGAGGCGGGCACCACTTCTAAGGTTCTAAGATAGTCAAAGGGAGATCCCTAAGGCTAGATCCTAAACCCTAAGAGGAAGACTAGACCTCACTAAAAATGAGGTCAACAAACATCCCCATCTATATCACTATCACTTTGAATAATAGATCCCAGATATCTAAACCGTTAACACATTTTAATAATTTGATCACCCATAGTTACAACTTTCTCACTAGAGCTACTACTACTAAAATTACATTCCATGTATTCAGTTTTAGTTCAACTCAAACGAAGGCATTTAGAATCCAATGTAGACCTCCATAATTCTAGTTTTTCCTTGGTTTTTTCTCTAGTCTTATCCACAAGAAGGATATCATTGAAAAGCATACACCAAGGTACATACTCCTGTAAATGTCTAGTAAGAGCATCCATAACTAAAACAAAAAGATATGGGCTTAAAGTCTATCCATGATGAAATCCAACTGAGGTAGGAAAATATTTTATCAATCCTCCTTCTGTACGAACAAAAGTAACAGCTCTAGTATGCATATCTTTAATGACTTGAATATAAGTCATATTAACACATTTCTTCTCTAGAACTCTTCAAATAATATTTCTCAAATAATATTTCTTGGAAATATTTCTTGGAAACTTATCGTAAGCTTTTTCTAAATCAATAAAAATCCTATGTAGATCCACATTATACTCTCTATACTTTCCATCAAACCTCTCAATAAATGTATAATTTCCATAGTAGACCTGCCTCACATAAATTCAAATTGATTATCAAAAGACTTTGTAATACTTCTTAACTTATGGTCAATTACCCTCTCCCATAATTTTAAAGTATGACACATCAACTTAATTCCTCTATAATTTGCATACGCTTATGCATCCCCTTTATTTTTAAAAATAGGATCAAAATAATCTTCCTCCACTCCTCAGACATCTTTTTAATTTTTAAAATAATATTAAAGAGTTTAGTATGCCAAAAAATCCCAAATCTCCTAAATATTTCCACACTTTAATTGGGCTATCATCAAGTCCTATAGACATTCTACTTTTGGTTTTCTTTAAAGCCTCAACTTCTTTTTTACTAATGTGAGAGTAAAAATGAAACATTTTATTAGTATTAACTATATTAAAATCACTAAGGTTTATCATATTTTCAGAAATTTCATTGAAAAGTTTATCAAAATAACTCACTCATCTATTTTAATATTTTTTTCTAAGAAAAACACTTTTGATTTTCATCTTTAATACACGATTTTCATCTTTGATTTTCATCTTTAATACACTTTACTTGAGTTAAATCTTTACTCTTTTTTTTCCTTTAGCTAGTTTATACATATATTTTTCACCATATTTAGTATTTAATATATTATAAAGATCACTAGAAGTTGAGCTTTTAGCGTCATGGATTATTATCTTAGACTCCCTACGGGTCATTTTTTAGTTTTCCCAGTTCTCTAAAATCTTACATTTAAATCAATTTTTATATCATAATTTCTAATATTTTATCTTTTCTTACAAACTATTATTCCACCATTAATTATTTTTATTCATAGAAAGTTTTCCATTTTGATTAAAACACATCTTTTGTCACTTGTTTAATAGTATTTATTACTTTATCCCACGTAGAATTTGTTTTTTCATTAACATCCCAAATCTTGAAATCTTGAAGTTTACTCATAAAAATATTTTTATTTGTGTCTTTTAATTGTTTCCATCTATGACATTAATTTCTAGTATTGTTTATTTTACAACTCTTCATTTTAAAATTCAGAACTAATAATTGATGTTGAGTATTTAAATCCCCACTTGGAATGACCTTGCAATCTTTTGCATTCTCGACGATATTTTATTCTCATAAGAAAATAATCAATTTGTGTTGTATTAGATCCATTTTTATAAGTAATAATATGCTCATCTCTTTTCTTAAATAAATTCTTTTCTTGTATAAAGTATTAGCAATAACAAAATCATACGATAAAGTAAAATCTAGTATACTATTTTTTTCATTAATCACTCCAACACCGTAGCCACCATTAATATTTCCAGAATATTATACCACTCTGCCGACATGTTTATTTAAATCTCCTCCAATAAAACATTTTTCTTCAAGAGATATCATTTGTATTAAGTTTTCTAGGTCTTTCTAGAATTTTTCTTTATAACCTATATCTGAACCTACTTGAGGAGCATAAACAATTATAATATTAAAAATCTTAGTATCAACAACAATCTTAGGGTTATAATTCTATCTCCAATTCTGTTAATTTTTACAATATTATCTTTCAAACTATTATCTATAATTAACTTTCAATTTTTTTAGTGCTACTATTATCTGATCACAAAAGTTTAAAACCTAAACTATAAATTTCTTTAGTTTTTTTTTCTAACTCATTTAGTTTATTGAATATATAAGATATTTATCTTTCTATGAATCATAATATTAACTGATTTCATTAATTTTTCTATGATAGTACCTATATTCCAAGATCCTATCTTAATATTAGTTTCATTGACTAATTTTTTTACCCGTATCCGTTCGTAATGTGAGAATCCTTGCTTATTTAACACTGCACTCAGACACCGGTGTAGCGACTCTTGTACACTTTCACTATATTCAGTTCATAAAACACTTCGCTTCCAGGGGACGCCCCAACATTTACCCAAAGATTAAAAGGATTTATGTCATGTTTTTCCGAAAAATTTTACGTTGGTTGTCGGCCACCTAAAGCAACCTTCCACTTTTTCCATCTGAGGCTTGAGACCTGCCAATAACAGTGCTTTGCAAATGTACTTCATCGAGCAAGAAAAAATCAAGTGCACAATTTTGATGTGAATTTTTATATCTTTTTGGAAAAGTGATAAGATTCTAATTTAAAGATCATCGGGGAAGCTCTTTGAGTTATGCTTTGGAGGCAATGATAGTCAATGGTACCCAAATTGTGGATTGGTTTCCCTGATTGATAGGTAGATATGCTGCTGCTTCTTGCTGGCACCGTTGAAGATGCAAATTTAGTCGTGAAAAATGCAATGCATATAATTTTTTGGGGTTACGTACATAGAACTCCAAACATTATTATTTACCTATTTTACACCCCAACCTTTAGATTTACGTTGAAAGCATTAAATACTCCTATAAAATGTCCTCTGTTACCTCATCCGAATGCTGATGTAGAAAAAGAGAATCTGCCAGCATGCCGATCTCACAGTTGCCACCCGTCGCTGGGCTCGCTGGAGCTTATAGGCGGGTTGGGTTGCCAGAAAATGAGTTTAGGAGGGTTCAGCATGGGAGAACAGCGGGAGAAGGGGATGTTCCGGCCTGTTGCTGAGATAGTCGTGCTTTTGGTTTGATGTTTAGGACTTACGAATGGGGAAGTAGAAGTGGAAGATGGCTTCGGCGAGCTGGACAGTGGGGATTAGGCGTAGGCTAGCAAAGGTACGGGCCGGATTGCATTCTGGAACAGGAACGTGTTATACATTTTCCGCTTTAACATGCCTTCTGGTCCATTTATGGCTTCCAAACCCGGGGTCAATGTTTCTGGACTCCAGGAGCTTCCCTGTCCTCTTCGACAATTCAAAGATTGAGAAGAAGGATGTTTATACGGCACATAGACAAAATCGTCATCTCCTTAGAGATGAAGGCAACCATGTAGCTTTTCCTCCAACTAGCTCCGCTGATCAGCAAACTCCTCACCTAGCGCTTCTTCCCTTTGTGGTTCTTAGAAGACCTCCTCCACACATTCCCCCTCCCTCCCTTCCTCGTCATGTTTGACTACAAAGCCCTCTACTCCTACTTCGAGTTCATCAGCTTTAATGCCGACAACATAGCACTCAAAATTTTAAGTTTTGTAGGCGATCCCCGCCTCAACGATCAAGCTGGAAAATGACTTTTCCTCGCCAGCGAAAAGCGGTGAGATGATGATGGGGTGTGACAGATTCTCATTTCTTACACCGGAGTTCGGATGAGATAACGGAGGAAGAGAATGGAGTGTTGTTTTCGTAAACATAAATGTTTGGGTGTGAAATATATAAATAGGAATGTTTTGAGAGCAATGCATGTAAAAACTTCCAATTTTTTTCTTACGTTGTCTTGGCTGATATGATATTCAAGTTCTTTGAAAAACTTGTTGCATTTGTAACTCGAATTCTTTGGGTCTCATTTGTCTCATAAGGAATTTTGTGAACATATAGATTGAAATTTTAGAAGGAAATTCTGAACGAACAGATTGAGTTCTCTATCTTTTGATTAATCTTATAATAATCTTTAGATTGTAATTTGTATGCTCTTGTTTTATCGGCTCCATTTTAAGTATATTTCTTAAAAGGGATTATGTGGAAGTTTATAAATACCTTATTTTGTTTGTACAAACTACAACTCACTTTCTATTTGATTTTATGTTAGTTGACACTCTCCACTTGTAATTTCTTATTTGATATAGTGAATTCTCATATTTTGCCCATGATTTATCCCATCCTGGGTTTTCCATGTAAAATCTGTGTTTTTTCTTTTATTTATTTCATTGTTAATCACATTGATTTTATAACATAGTTTGGCGTCTGTTTTATATGATATTTTATAATGTAGGCTATTTAAAGATATGGATCAGTTTATATGGTAAACGGTTGTAAATTTTATTCATCCACATCATACTCTTTTATTATTATTATTATTATTATTATTATTATTATTATTATTATTTGTATCAGGATCCGAAGGAAAACTGCTCCAGAACCTCTCTACGTTTCTTGAGTCAAATTTCCTCATTAAAACTGAACCTCCAAATATCCTAATTTCTCTGTTCTCTGACTGAAGACTGGCAACTGTATGAAACGCCATTTTTCATGGAGGCGGCGGTTGATTGTTCAGAAATCCAGGGTATGTGGATAGGTTTGCTCTTATGGAAAAACAGTATGATAAATCCTCATTTGCGTAGATCCGCATTTCCATACATGCTGTTCCCAATCAACATAAGCTTTCATTACTTTGTTCCTGATATTTATTGAAACATTATGTTGATGGGTCAGAACTTGATGTATTTGAGTATTTCTAAAAATACAAGTAAATTATCTCATAAAGTGGAAACTTCATATGCACTTTTGTCCATTTTTTTTTTTATTTTAATGTGCTGGGTTTTTTTGTTTTTTGTTTTGGACTTAACAATCAATAGTCAAGTCTGAAATTGTGAAGCATTGGTTATTGTTCTTTTGCATCCAAGTCAAATATTGATCTTTTTCATAGAGCAGTGAAATTATTTTTTGATTTTAGGTGATTATCTGGAAGTGATTTTAAATGATAAATGCAGAAGTCAATGGTAGTTATTAAATTTAATATAGTATTCATATTATCATATATTCTAAATTATATATAGCAGCTGATATTCTCTTTTTAACGAGTATATTATCATTTATTACATTTTTTTTTGTTTTTTTTTATAATGCTTCTTCACAGGCACATATTTGCTTTTACTTCCCATCAATTGAATGGATGGAACTACTCACCTTGTCCTCTTTTTCATTATTTTAACGCGAGTTCTTATTCTGTGCGGACACCGCACGCAACTATGCGTGCGGTGTCCAATGGAAATATGACACTTGGAATAGTGGGCCCCACAACTTAAAAAATTAAATTGAGACATGTATACGGCGCGACCCGGCCCGAATCTGGCCCGAAACGTGTAAAAGTTAACTGAGCGCCTGAAAGAAACTTATTCCTCGAAAAACCAAACGACGCCCGAGCGAGGATCGCACAGAGGACCTTCATTCAATCTTTATTCAATCTTTTAGGGTTTTTGAATCAGATAAACTCAGGCTGTTAGATTTGTCGTTGGAAACCGAAGAGAGCCAGTGAGAATGGAGACGGAAGAGCCCGTGATAATGGAAACCGAAGAGGAATCGACAATGCAAGCCGAGAAACCCAAGAAAAAGGAAGGAAAAGAGCGAAAGAAGAAGGAAAGCGAAGAGGGTTCATCCAGGTAATTTTTATTTTAGTGTTTTTGAGTTCTACACACGTGCACACAATATTACCTTTAAAAATCATCATTAAACAGCAATAAAACTTGCTATTTAATTATAATACAAAAGCAACCACTATTTAACAACACCTTAAATCTCAACTCAGTATTACAGAAACAATGTTATGATAATAACAGAATACAACGAAGAAATGACCAGAATATAACCTTAATTCTACATCAAAATATAACCTTAATAATAATAATACCCGAATACAACTGAAAAACTTCTATAATATAACCTAAGCACTAATTCTGAGTAACACTAGAATATAACGTTATCCTAAATAATATTACCTGAGTATCACAGAGATAATACTATAATAATTACAGAATACAACGGAAAAACTACCAGAATATAAC